TGGTTTTTTTTCGGCCACCCCCCCCCCGGGAGGGGGGGGGGTTGGTTTCTTTTCAAATTTCCCGGGGGGGGTTTTTTTTGTTTTTTTTTTGGGTTTTTTGGTGGGGGGTTTCCGGGGAACCCAAAAATTTTTTCAGTTTGTGGGGAGATCAGCCTTGCGTGCCTAGCCTACAGGTATTGCGCGAAGCCACCCCCCCCCCAAAAAATGAAAAATGTTAGACGTTCGCATGCATTATTTATTGGGCACTCAAGGAAAAATGCCAAGAAAAAAGGAGAGGATGGTCCAAGGGCGTACAAAAAATGTTTTCCCGCACACCTCCCTCCCCCCCCCCCCCCGGGGAGGGGTAAAAGAAGATTGTTTTTCGTGGCACATTTTGTACCGGGCTTTTTGTTGGCTTTCTCCCTCTCCATATTGTGTGTGCTTGTGTGTGCAGGTGTGGTCGCACGGATACGTGCCACAAAGGGCCTTGTTACCAGGTAGGTGTTTGATAAGTTTGAGATACGTAATGAATGGTGAATACATCCGGCGCTGGAAGAAGATTGTTACCTACGTCGAATATAGCTGTGATGGGCCGGGGACACGTACTTCTGGTTGGTTTTCAAGTCTTGAAGTACAGTGCTTGGGGACAAGCTAAAGTAACTCAGAACCTCTCAATGCTTCTGCGGTATCGATATCGTGGAGTCAGCTGACGTCGGTAGGGAAAGGTTCGGGAGGTAGGCACTGGAACACAAGGGCAGCAGCAGCGGGCGGTTTTTGCCCGCGCGCGCAAGGAGATCCGGGGAAAGCATTTGGAATACGAGGACAGCTGGTTTAAGCGGTTTTTGCCAGCGCGCGTAAAGGAGATCCAGTAGGAGTACATCATGCCGCATCATTTTATTGCGGCGTAACTTGGCGGAGGAAGAGAAGAGATGATGCGGGAGAACGACAGGACGGAGAGGGAATACGGGCATCTAAGGGAGAAGAATGATGCACCGGCACGAGCAATGGCTGCCGGGAGAACGACTACCGGGGCAGCTGGTGGAGCTGGGCTCGGTACACAATGGGTGGGCATGATGAATGACGGAAATTGTGCTTTGAGCGGATACAGCAGCAGTCGCAAACCGCCCAAAATCCCGAAAGATTCGGCGAACGCCCTAGGCTGGCTAAGATTGCGGATTTTCCTGGCTAGCGAAGGTTTGGAGCAGACGCTTGAAGACACCTACCCCTGTGACTATGTTCCTGCCATCAGCTGTTTGGATCGCACATATCTGAACCGGGTTCATGGTGCGGCGCTCGTTACGGCACACAAGCGGGCGTGGGGATATCTGTTGCAAGCAACCTGCGGCACGGACATTGATGAAGAACGGTTGGCTGATTGCGACTGCGTCCCTGAGGCGTGGAGTGTGATCCGCGAATGGGTTTTGCCTACTTTTGACGCTGAGAAGGCATTGCTTGTGCGACGGTTGGAGACAATTGAGATGTCCCCTGGCGAGGACCCGAAACTTTTCTTTGCCAGAGTCGATGGCATCGTCAACACCATCCGAGCTGTCGGCATTGAAAAATCCGAGCGGGAAATCGTGCACATCATTGTCCGCCAGCTTTCGCCCGAGTACGATGTCGAACGCAAGTCTATCCTGGCCGACCCCACCATTCCCCGAGCGAAAGTGGAAAACGTTGTTCGCACTGCATACGCTAACAACGTCGAGATCAAGGAATTGGGCAGAGCACATGCGATCGGTGGTTTGGGGTGCGGTCATGGCGGCGGCTGTCAGAAGGGGAAACAACGGCGGTGGCAGCAGCAACGGCGGTGGCAGCAGCAGCAGCAGCAGCAGCAGTGGGTTCATCCACAACCACCACCTGCACACCACCCACCTCCTAACTTCCCGACGTGGGGATCTGGAGGGCTCTATGACTGTGGGCGCAACGCCGTGTACCAGCTCCGCCGCCAGGCGCTCCGATGGATGCCGTTCATCAGTGTGTGAGGTACGGGAGGCATGGACGCTCGCTCGGCGACTGCAATGCGCCGCGACGCTTTGAAGGCAACTGCACTGCCTGCGGTGAGTACGGCCATCGGCGCCGCACGTGTACAATCGGCCGCATGCAACAGCACGTGCACGTCGGTGACGGAGAAGGTCTGAACGCGAGTGGCAACGACGCTATGCCGTACCAGCAGCGGAAGCGCGACGACGCTGGAGGAGGCAAAGGCAGCGGAGCGGGCAGCAGTCGGAACTGCTCCCGGAGCTTGGTTTGTGTGGGGGACAGCCGGAATACCCGCATCTGCAGCCCGAGCAACCGTACTCGCAAAGGAATCGACCGGAGGCGCTCCCCGTGTTTGCAGCTGGAGCGATGGCATGGGAAACAGCACCTGCGGCGGGAGCGGCGACTGGTGGTGGTGGTTTCCCCGCTATGGCGGCGGGGGCGGCGGTCGGGGCGCAGGCACTCGCGGTCGGAGCGGCGGCATTGGCGGCAGCACCGGCGGTGAGAGCGGCGACCCCCGGCAGCAGAGCCTTCCCCGCGGCGGCGGCGGCGGCGGTGCGGGGGGCGGCTGAGGTGCAGGCACTTGCGACTGGAGCGACGGTATCAGTGGTGGTACCGGCGACATCGTCGACCGGCGGCCCAGTAGCCCCCGCTGTATTAACCGGCGGGGGCACCGCAGCGCCCACATCAGCAGGCCAGTGTAGCGCAAGAGGCGGAGGACGAGTGCGAGGAGGTTAGCCGTTGGTTGGACAATGACGATAAATGCGGCAAAAGCAGCGATCGCGGCGATGATGGCAGCATCGTGGCGTTGTCTGCTGGTGCGGGGCATTCCGGCGCCCATCCGACCGTGTACAATGGTATCTTCGTGGTGCGTGACGATGGGGGGCAATACCAGGGCTGGACATTCGA